CGGGTGCGACGATGTCTGACGAGGGACATGGCTGTTGTCCCCAGGTTTGTCGGGTACAGTGGTCGGGCAGGAGATCTTTTGGCGGTACGCCGAACTACCCTTTCGCGAGTTACCCTGTGCCGAGCTATCCCATAGGCGGCGAGCTGCCTGTGGCAAGCTATGCCGAGCTGTCTGGCCCGAAGTGTTTTCACCCCGGGGTGTCTAGAGGTGGGTCAGTGAGCTCCCGTCGGGGAGTGGCCTGAAGTCCATCGGGAGGAGCTCGAGTATCGAGAAAGATCAGGGTACCCCGACCTCGGGGCACCCCAAAGTGCCTTAACCCCGGGGAGGAGATGCAGGTAAGACGGCTTCTGGCGAGTAGTTTATCCGCCTAGTTGCCGAGCTCAACTTGGTGAGATCCTCCCCCGAGTTGTGGTTATGACAGTTATGCAGTCACGCTGAGTCACTGTTTGAGCAAGGTCACGCCCACGTGTACCCATGCTGCGAGGTCGGGCCAAATCACCCTCCATCAATTGCCCCCCACTCCCTGCGCTGGCGGCAATGACCCAGCGTGGGAGGTCATGACGCACCGGGTGGATTTGGCGTTAGTATTTATGCCGCTTTGTCGCGCGCTCCATCCAGCTGGACTGGCCTAGCGCCCGGTTCGATCGAAAAAAGACTCGAGTCGCGTCCAGGTCACGCACGGACTTCACGCGACTTGGACTTTGCGGACGTAAAAAATGCAGTAAATCGTTTTCGCCTCGATGAACCCGCAACTGTGGCTATAAATAGGGGGACCATTTGCCATTTTCTTCGCCACAAAGCTTTCGTCGTTAGCGTTTGATCTCATGCCAGAGGTCTCTTAGCTCGGGTCTTCCAATTCGTCCTGTTCTCCCGGTCCGGTTGCGTTCCTTCGATGAGTCCTCCCAAGCTCCCTTCTCTCTTCTAGTTTGTTTCTTTCCCTTCAGTCTGCTATGTCGTCTAGCGTAGACAATCTCATCAACGAGCCCGAGGTGGGTACCTCGGCTCGGGGTGTCCCTTCTGCCGCCCAGCCATCCGATGTACGGGTGGCTTCGGGTCATCTGGAATCCACTTCCCACCGAGGTCGGGTGTCAAATCAGTTCGGCCCTTCCACCATGACTGTGGAGAGACTCCAGGACCTCATACAGAAGTTCCATCTTCTTGGGGAGTACTCTTACGGTCTTCCTACCGGTAGTTTCCCATGGGAGCACGGTCCTGATGAGATCGTGATCTTCAGGGAACAATTAGTAGTCAGGCTCCGACTTCCTCTCCACCACTTAATTTCTGAGGTACTGGTGCACTTCAACATAACCTTGGACCAACTTCACCCGAATTCCATACGGAATATAGTTGGGACCATTTATCTTTGCTTTGACCGTTCTCTTCCTATTGACCTGGACATCCTTAGCACCATTTTGGCCATAAAGAATAGTGCTTCGGGCACTCTCCCCGGGCACAGACGGTCTTACTACCTGTCTCCCCACCCGGAGTTCAAGCTTATGCACAAACTCCCGAGTAAAGTCTCGGCTTGGAAGTGGGACTACTTTGTAGTTCGGAGCAGCACGGGGTGGCCCTTCCCTACTAACTAGAGGGTTGCTGTTCAAGACCCCGGTGTCATCTTAGATGGGAAGACCAAGAAGGCACTCCAGACACTGGCTCAACTCGGGTTAAATTATAAAGACTTCACATCCAAAGAGAAGCTTGTCCAGGCCGGCTTGAGCTCGGGTAGGTTTTGCTTTACTTCGGCCTTTTGTATGTATGTTTGCTTCGGGATTGCTAATGTTGAACTTCACTGCAGGTCCCATGGAGGCAAAGAAGATTGACAACCAAAGACTCTTCTGCCAGATGAAGAGGAAGAAGCACGTAGCCAAGAAGGCACACGTTGAGTCTCCGCCGCCCTCTACCGAGGCTCAGCCTTCACAGGCTCTTGTTCCGGAGCCCCAGCTCCCTGGCGTCCAGCCCGTCTTCAA